ACACACACATATAAACTGCACTGTATATCTGACCAAACCAGTTAGCAGTATGATTGCTCTGCATGATAGTTTATAGTCATATAGAGTGTGCCACTCTTTGATTGCATAAAAAAGATTTGAGTTTTTGCAAACAATCCTGGTTATATTGTTAGATGGATACACCAAATCAAATAATAATAGATAATAATACTTGAGGAAAACGTGTGTGTAAAAGAATCAAGCGTTATGCTTGCTTTTAATGCAAGATAGTTGTTGCCAAACATCGAGACTTACTTTTGTTTTACTCTTCTTCTCTGCGGCAGCTTTCTTCCCACTCTTGGTTACCGGCTTTATCTCCTGAGGTTTCTGTAGAACCATGTCGTCCGCGGGGATTCCCGGCCACGTGTTGCTGCCGCGAGGCAGCGTGGGTCTGTACTCGTGATCGTTCAGGTCGATACCCGCCTGTTTCTTCCTGATCAGGGTCGTTGTTGGGAACTTTTCAATGTCAATCCCTGGGGGGAAACAGTTAACACACTTCAACACATTCCATCTGGGAAAACGATTGTTGTAATTTCTTTTTTTATCACTGGTGACATCCAGTTTTGTTCTACCCAGACAGATGCACAATAGATTCTCATTTTAACCAAAGTAAACTGGAAAAAATCTCAATGATAATCCATGATTCAGGACAGAATGATGGGTGTTGCGGTATGACAGGTACTAGTACTAGTAGTTACTCACAAAGCTAGCTGTTTTCAATCATGACATCATCATACTTGCCTCCCTCCAGTTTTCTCGGAGGGATTTCATCTTCAAGAACAGCTTAAACCTCAAGAAGATGTTACCAAGGCAATGTACATTAAACTGGAGTAACTACAAAATGTATTTATGAAGTAGGTATCCCAAATATTTCAAAAGTGTGAGAACTCACGTCCAGTCTGCACATCATCGATGGTCAGCAGGTTGTCGTACAGAAGCAGCAGCTTCTCTCCTGTTTTAGACAGGTCCTCCACAAAGGACTGGGCATGCTGGGACACACAGTCCTGTCAGGGGACACAAACACACAAAGATCTCATATCGGAAAACCATACCAATAGTCTCCACCAGATAAACTACACAGGTTCAAAAACTTACGCAAAATTTAGCCAAATGGGGATGATTCATTAACATGTAATTGGCTAGTGGGGTTTGGCCACCATAGAGTTCATTTTAGCCTTGGTACCATCCAAATTTTGGCTCTGCGATTTTTTTTAGTATAGCAGAGCCAAAATCTAGATGGTACCCTGGTTAATTTCAGTTTATTTCAGAGGGTCTAAAATATAATACTGGAGTACCAAGTCATCATCAGAAACAGGACTCCAGGTTATATTCTAGACTGATATCAGAGTTCTACATTTTATTGAAGGACATCAGGAACTCATGACAGACTATTTTTTTTTCTTCTCCACTGCCTGTTACCTGTAGAGACTGGTTGTTGTCCTGTATGCCACGCAGCTGTTCCAGGTTGCGTGCATCCTCCCTGTCACACAGGGTCTTCAGCTCTCCTGCTTTCTGAGGGTGGCCCAAGGTCGGACGGAGGTCGTTCTCATGGGTTTGCTGGAAGGACATTGTTGCATCAGAGCTAATAATGCACTTTAAGATACCAGAAGTGAACAAGGTAGGTGGCCCACAAGTGCTCTGATAGAGGGTTAACCATTAAAATGTTAGGGCTGGAACACATGCACTTCATCAGGCTTCTAAATCAATTGAAATCTATCATAGTATGTGAGACTTTGGAGGTTGAAATTACAAACAACTTCCTGTAGATAAACCCCAAGAACTTCATGCTATTGAACAGAAATACAAGTTATGAACAATTATATCTACAGTCTTACATCCAAACTAACAACATAGTGTGAGGTCTATGAAAATGAAGCATGTAGTGTTGGAAAGACTTTTTGCTTGGTTAACAATCCCCCTTCTGACCCAACTAAACAGCCAGTTCCCTCCAGTATCTCACCTTCTCTGTGTCCCACCCTGTGACCCTCTGTGAGAAGTCTGCCTCGATCCTGGCCCTAGCGCCCCCTGCTGACTCCAGGTGGGACTGCAGGAGTTCAGACACGACCAGCGGCGGCACGTCTGCCACCAGCTCCTCCAGCCTGGTCAGCTGCTGACGGAACTCTGCCGAGCAAGGGGAACATGTCAGCATACACGCCCAGGACTGTGCTTAATAGTTTTATATATTTTTGCATGATGGTAATGTATTTCAGGGTCAGTAATTTACCGCCATAGTCAGTCATGGCGGTTTGCAACCTGTAATCAGTGAAAGGACCGTTGTTGTTTTTTCTCCCTTTATTCCTGGTGGTGATAAGACAGATACATATTTTTTTAGAAAAATATTTAATGATGTCATGTATGAAGAATGTAAGGGCTTTGTTTGAATTACTATCTTCGCATAAAAATAAATTGGAAGAGTAACTGCATGTCAAATGCAGCAAAGTGCAAAATCTTAATAATATGTAAATTCTGTGATCATTCCTAACCTTTACAATGCTCTGCTTTCAGTGTACCAGTACGGATTGGAGTCACCCAAATAGTACAATATCAAACTACTAGCTACATAGTAGTTCCTGTCTAGCCTGGTTACCAAACCTATTATAGCTCCCGAGTCCTACATCCTCTCCCTATTTGCGGAGAGGATGTAGGACTCGGGAGCTACAATAGGTTTGGTAACCAGGCTAGTTCCTGTCCATGTAAAACAGAAAACATGTCATCTCACCCTGTAAGCAGGCGTTGTGGTACTCGTCTGCCTGTTGCTGGTAGGACTGGAGTTTCCCCACCACGATGTCAGCAAAGTCGTCCATGTTACTCTGGATGTTCTCTGGACGGGTCGGTGTCCTGTTACCCTTCTGTTTGTAGTACACCTAGGGGAGGAGTTGGAAACAACTCTCCTTAAACATTCATAATATCAACAGTAACACGAATTTGCATTTGGATTTGAAACCATCACTGTATATTTCATGATATCTAAGATTGAAAAACAACAGCATGAATTTGGATTGCTTGATGTCCCATGGCCATGAAATCTTATACAAGAGAATACAGTACAACGTATGTATGTCTTTTGTCATAACTAAAACTCATGTTGCCACAAAAAAGATGCACATTTTATAAGAAAAAACAGTCACAATAATTTCTCTTTTCTTAATGACAGTAAGTAACTCACTCACCAGATTCTACAAGAATGGAACAAACCTTAAGTTAAATTCAAGTAGATGAATCAAGTATACAAAAAAGGGCAATGTTTTGAGGATCTTAGTTATTCTTATTCTTCTACTATTTGCATGTGGAGAGTGGTTTTCGAAGCACTGCATCAATGATATTTGCACCCGACACTTAAGACATTTGACTAGTTACCTCTGCCCATTTCATCCTCTGTTGCAGCAAGTGGCAATGAAAGCATGTGAAATTGTATGATTTCCCTTGCAAGCTTGAGCAACACCATGGCTATTCTCAAACTAGTACTAGAAAAGAAAATAGTTCGCACCAAGCCAGACAAAATGTCGACCTGACAGGCGCCAATGCCAAAAAGAAACTTCTAACTGCACCAAAAGAAAAGATACTGGCAGGCTTGTGCAATCTTTCTGTATCTTCTAGATCTGTTTCAATCCTTTTCAAAAGGTTTTGCTGGGAGAAGACTATCACCAAGGCTTATACCTAAGTACATGTATTTGGGAGTGAGTTGATATATTTCACCATACTAGAAAAATCACCTCCCAAAAATCAGACTTCACAATACAGGGAGTAACATCTATATCACAGTTACTTTTTACATGTATTCTGCTTGATCATTATTTTCATGACAATTCTGATACACCCGTGGCCACAGCATCAGCTTGTATTAGCACCATGTCACCGACACTTCCTTACATCAACCACTTACTTTGGTGACTGTAGGTTTCCTTCTTTTCTTAAAGTATGGCTTTGAGTTATAGGAAGGAAGCATGCAACAAGTTTGACAACAAGAAATAATGCAGTCATCTACATTATCTCTCTTACCAATCATGATCTTCTTATATATTAGATGTCCATCATCAGTGATACAAGTCAAAATAAGACATATTATCAACTAAATTGAATATATTTCCTACTGACGTATTTCACAATATCACTTTCAATTCAATACTCAAATCCACTGAACTATTGTAACATCAAGAACTAAATGCTTAGAAATTACAGCTATAATATCCTTGAATAGTTTCATCAGGTTGGTAATTATAAGTCGCTGAGTAAAGATAGTCAGCCAACGTTTCGGTGACCGTCTGTCACCTTCCTCAGAGCAATTTTGACTGGTTCACATTGCACTGCAGCACAGGTGTCGCTGCTGTAGATGCATTCCCAAAACATACAATATTTACACATCTTACATATCTTACTTACTGCTATAATAGCAGATTGTGTAAGTGCAAGGTTCTCACCTCTCCAATAGTGAAGAGACCTTCCAGAGCATCAGATAGGATCTTCCTCACAATCCCCAGGAAATGGCTACAGAAAAGATTATCAGACTTAGTCTAGGAAAAACATAGAAAAACATTGGAAAAAACATTGATATCATAGCTACACTGAAAGATATACAAGTACATGTATAAGAAACATTTTAAAAATCTATATAATAACTCAAAAATTGTGCAACGAACTTACGTCAGTTCATATGGACCTTCACCAAACACTGTCACCCTCTTCTCTATCTTGGACTTACTGCCTCTCCTCCTATAGTTTAAATAAAAAGCACATGAGATACAGTATGGACAAAAAAATAATTTTGTCAGTAGTATGTATTCCTTTTAGTTCATGTTTCTAGCCAAAATAACACATATTTCAGGCATACGATGCAGTATTGTAGAGATAGTTGAATGTACAAACTGTATTACTGGCCAACACATGTGTGTTGTATTTCATATGACTTTTTTTTGGTCAAATTTTCTGGTTGGTCCCCTCAAGCTGAAGTTCCGAGACTTACCCTGACAGTCTCTTGACCTGCTGCGTCCCCCCGCCGGCGCTCATCATGCTGAGCGTGGTGTCTCCGCGGGTCAGCGTGGCGCGACCGCTCTTCTTCAGACTGGTGGCGATGCTGGAGGAGGTGGGGGGGCGGGAGGTGGCGACACTACGCAGGCCCGTCCGCTGTCTCTCGTCTCCGTACACGGCACGGGCTGGAGAGAGGTGTCAGGCACGGGTGTTAGTTGTCTCAGAAAGTTTTTTTTTCAAATCCAACAGTCAGTCATGCACAAATATGGTAAAGTGGCTAGATGGGTCAATAGAGAGAGTGAGGGATGGAGGGTGGGATGGGAAGAGGGATGGAGTGAGTGATGGAGTGAGGGATGGAGAGAGGGATGGAGAGAGGTGCCAGGAACACGTGTTAGGGTGTCAGTAGTCACAAGGAGAGTTTTCTTAAAAGCCTTAATTCTACATTCAGTCAGGCACAAATATGCTGAAGTACTGTCTAGCAGTTGGGAGTGCGAGATGGAGAGAGAGAGGGTCTGTCTTACCAGCAGTAGTTTTGTCATCTTCTGCATCCATGTCTGTTCCTTCTGCCTGGACCTTCTGAGTCCTGTTGGAAAAACATAGCTTACATTTGAGGCAAACTACATCATAAAACCAACAGATAAATGGAACAAGTGTACATCCTCATCATGATACTCATAGAAGCTACAACAATCTAATATGTATAATGTTAGGATAGAAACTCCGATCTGATAGATCAGTAATTCTACTGGTAGTGATCTCAATGGGAGTCTTTGTCAACTCAGTAGATTACTGATGCCATCAGATTGAAGTCTCTACCTTGACATCTCTAAATATTTTTGAATGCCATTTTGGATGTAGCTAGTAATCCACTACTACATCACTACAATGCAGGGCAGTTTCACACCATAAGACAAACAGTTAAAATTGAAAGCGAACCGTACTTCAGGATGTTCTTGATGACACCTATGGAGGCGTCCTCCGCCACCTGCTTGCCTCCCTTCCCAGGCTGCACCAGGGCGCCGTCCACGAAGCCGACCCGTCCGGTGGGTGCGGGGGCGGGCGCAGGCACGGGTTCGGGGGGCGGGGCTGACTCCTTCAGACAGTTGAGGTACTGGCTGCGATCGTGAACCGTCTCCATTACCTCCGCCATGTAGTCTACCAGCTGCTGGGGGGTCAGTTGCTGTGGAGGGTGGAGAACAGAGTGACTTACTATCTACTTGTTTGTCTTGGTAGATAACATAGCGCTTGGAGAGGAGCTACAAAGGTGACTGCTCTACCAATAGCCAGCATAGTGGTGTCCATTGAATAACATACATGTACAATATTAGCATGCATATAAGAGGAATATTGATGGCCAATGCAACTATTTTTTTTCTTAACCTTTGATCATTGTTTATCTGTTTTAAGGGGCCAACCAAGGTTTTTAAGCCTTGATGTAATAAATATAATGTTTAACACACAAGCACACACACAGATGAGAAGTTACAAAGGAGACTGCTCTATCAAGCAATTGACAATAAAAATCTTCTAATTTCAACCATCTGGTGTAAGAGAAGCTTTCCCTGTGTTAAACTGAAGAATTATTTACCTCCTTGTCAGGGTTAGGTTTCTCCACAGCATCAATCCTTCGCTCCAGGCGGTTCAGGTGGTTGTGAAGAGTCTGGGACTGGGTGTTACTCTCCTGGACCTGCACAGGGAAGCAAACAAGCTGTCATTGGCTCAAGAACTGATGGGTTTAACCTATCTCTTACCAATTTACACATTGTAGTTATATGCATAAAGATACAAGGAAAATCATGGATAGACATTTCATGGAGAGATGAAAAAGAAAGCCAACAGCTGCTTTTAGCAAATGAAGAACTCCAAATGTGTTTCCCAAATTTCTATATCAGTTAAGAGAACGATGGTAAGACATGAGAGCCTGTCACACCCATACATGGATGTCAGTCATTCCAAACATTGTTTTAACCATACTGAGGTGTTGATTATTTTGACCCAAAAGATAAATATGGGAGGAAATACAACATTCAAGTGTGGACTGACCTCGCTCTTGATCTTGACCTGTGTGTTGGTGAACCAGCGAGTGACCTTCTCAATGAAGATCAGGTCCATCAGGTGGTTCTTAAACCTGGGGTTAAAAACAAGACTCTCTTATTCATGGCTATAGTATAATCTTATAATCAACATATTTCTACATGAAAGACGCATGGGACGAGCAGTACAGGAGGGAGCTGCACTTTGGCAATGTATCCTATACTCACAACTTACCACAGTTGTCACTAGCACATTGAATTAACCATACTATTGGCAGGGATTCCGGTTTCAGCACCAAGGACAGAGCTATAATGGCTATCATACTGATAGTCAACTGAACATGGTGCTGCCTGCTACATGCAGCAATATCTTTTTTTTTAAGTAGAAAATTACATCATCACTCACTACATTGGCTATCAATGATACATACTTATTGTTACTACTGTCACATATATCACCTGATTTATGAAAATGCCTGGCCTGTTTATGGGTTAATACATGCATTTGGCATTACATTACTGCTTAAGAGTCATCCTCACCTGTCCTCAAACTTGTTGACGACCTCGGTGGCCTGCTCCAGTCTCCTGGCCTCCATGCCCTCCAGGTCAGCCATCACAAACCCCTCAGCTGAGTCGATCTTGTTGGCCATCCTCTCCAGCTTCTTCCTGTACTCCTCAATCTCCTCAGGGGAGAAGTTACCTCCGTCTGAGAACAGTCTGTGGGGACGGGACAGCAAAGGAATAAGAAATGTTTCTTATTCCTGACAAAATTATCTTGAAAACTAGAAAGGTAGACTAAGGTACTTTTAACTTTAATTGGCCTGTAAGACAATTTTTTGTTAATTTTCAGTGTCTTTCCAAATATCAAGTGACAATAGTTTTGAGAAAGTATTTGAATCTAAAATAATTGAGCTCTGCACAAATCTAATGATATTACTTAATGAGACTTACTTGAAGGACATCCTGAAGCGAGCGTTAGACTCCCTCAGCGTTGCCAGGGTGTCGTCAAGGAAACCACGGAACTGTCGCAGCGAAACTCTGATGGTGTCCATGAACTGGAGAGGAACATTCAGAGACAATTCTATCACCAATGGTCCCATATTAAGAATATTAATTTTCTCACGTACATTACAATAGCCTTTGTATTTCATATCCTAATTTGAAATTCATAGTCCATTGCCTTTTAGATGGTGCATTTAGGAAAAGGTAGAGGGATTGTGATAAACATAGCATTCTATAACATTAGTGACCTCAAAGAATCAAAATATAATATTCTATCCTTGTAGCGGCTTACCTTTTCTAACTCAGTTTGCAGAGAGTTTGTCAAGGATACCAGTCTGAAAATGAAATATATACATGGTGATTAAAAATCTATTAACATTTGACACTGTAATGATTTGTGCGTATACAAGTGATAATTAAAATACCGGGTAAGATCAATTAATATGTATATCAACTAACAAGTTAGAGCTGAAGGCTGTTCCTTGTCAGGTCCACAATGTTTGGTATGAAACTTGTGAGTCTGCCCTAGACTCCTGACTTACTTGGCAGACTTGGTTGCGTTGATGAAGATGTGTTCCATGTTCTCGATGTGTTCTCGGAACTGTTCGAACATCCAGTTATGTTCTGAGTTGAGGTCGGTGAAGCGGGATTTGAGCTCGTTCAGCGCGGTGGTGATGCCCTTACAGTGTCGGGACACTCTCTCCTGGTGCATCACCAGTTCAGCTGGGGGGAACAGCAAGAGTTAGTCAGGTTCTACAGGGTGGAACTTGATCTTAGAGCAATGTTTCACTTAAATTTTAAGCTCTAGAATCATCACGTGCTGAAGGAAAACAAATTGTTTTTGCTGTTTCTTCTTCTTCCATTCCAAACACTGACCTCTGACCTGGTCAATGACCTGAACCAGACTGTCTCTCTCCATAGTAACTGGCATTGGGCTACATCATGTTGCAATTTTATAGTAGGACGGATTTAAACTGCTGTCACCATATATGTGAATGTTAACAGAGTTAAAAGAGGAGACTATATGCCAAGGTAAACATTATGCATTTGCTTTGCAAATGTCACCTTTCTAGTTTGTTTTTTTATTTGCACGATTCATTTCGAGATCCAGAAGCCTAACTTACCTGCTCTGACATTGTGGACGTCCATCTCTATTCTCTTGGCCCTGGGTGAGTGGAGGTGAAGCCGCAAGTCCAGCTCACTGTTCAACTCCTCACACTGGCAACACAAGTAAAACAGTACATGTATATGATATATTCTTATTGTCATGTTTATAGAATATCAGAGTTACCGGTATATCATTATGATGTACAGATGGTTTTCGTTTTACTGTACTTTATAAGGTAGGGTTCCCAGTAATGGAGATGGGAAGTAGCTTAAAAATTATCAATCTTTTTTTCAAACTTACTACACATGAAGCTAGATCTTCTGGCTACAACCGCATCCTATTTGTTTGTTTACCTTGGCAGCTACAACACTCTTGGCCCTCTCCACAGCCTGGCCTGTCCACTCCTCCAGGTGGTTCAGGAACTCCATACGCATACTGAACACAAACAAAAAAAAAAAGTTTAACACAACACGTACAGATCACGTGAGAAATGGGCAACATGTGCTTACACTGTTTTGTACAGGCCTTGTTTCCTGTATCTCTGCACACTTCCACAGAGATACAGGCAACAACACTTCTCTTGGGAAGATTGAAAAGAACAAACAGAAACTTATACAATGTGCAAAATGAAAAACATCACTCACTGTTTCTTCAGCTCCACAAAAAGAGACTTGAAGAGCTTGACGTTCTCGATGTACGCGGGCAGGTCTTCCTTAGTCTCTGACTCGGTCAGGAACACCGGCTCCGACGTGGCGTCCGCCTCGGGAGGTATCCCATGCTCCCCTGCTTCTGTCAGGACGTAGAAACTCGTCCCCTTCTTGGTGGTGAGAACCTCGTGGATGACAGCGGGGAGCGGGCTGGTACCAGACTGGGGAAACAGAAGAGATTTAGGCTATATTCCCTGAACTTACAAAGTTGAAGTCAAATTTTGTATCATAAACTACTATAATTGTAGCATTGTACTATTTTATACAAGCATGATCAAGACACGTGATTATATAGAAGTACCCCTAACTATAGCCTGCTTTTCAGGTACTCCTGGATATATGTAAAAAGAACACAGGATTTCGGATATTCTCTGAACTTTGTACGGTACCATAAACTACTATCATCTTATACAAGCATGATCCAGATACATGACCTAGAAATGCTCCTAACTATTAATCGTTTATGCAGTACATGTTACATGGTACATGGCAGAACAGAACTCACCACTTTTGTGGACACAAATGATGATGTTGACATGGAGGACACACTGCGGGCGGTGGTGTCTCCCCTCTTCTTCCTGGGAGACTTCTGTGGTGAGCAACATGAAATAAACAAAGTTCAACTCACTTATCATGACAAACAGTCACTGACAACAAGTTTTTCATGGCACTTGGTTTGGTTGTCCTTCAATGCCCACGATCATGATCATAATGATCATTCTGGCATACTCATTTTCACCTCAGTGAAGTAAGGAAAGTCGTGCAAAGTGCCTTTCCCAAGGGTACAACATTGCTGACTTGGCAGGATTTGAACCTGGGACCACTTGGTTCTGAGCCAAATGCTTTAATGTTATGCCACACAATCCTACTCAAAACGTATAGTTTTGCAACTACAGTAGTAAATGCTTCCTTGTGTATTCCATTACCTGGATGCCTAACACATTAGGAATTTCATTCTTATTGTATATGACAGCTCATGACATCCTTTTCCATCTTCTATACATGCATACTAAATGGAGATAACTTTTCCTCACAGTTGTAGTTTTGCTGGGTCCTGAAGGATTCCTGTCCACCCCGAAGAACCGACAGAGCGCGGAGTCGTAGTTTGTCAGCTCCTCCGTCACCATGGAGGGATAACCCTGCACGATCTCCACCTGCTGACCATGGAACAGCTCGTATCTGAACAGGAAAAACACCAGTTTGAATAATTTTGACATTCAGTATTGTCTATTGAAATGTAAGTGAATCTAACAAGACAAGACAGGGAACACAGGCAATAGAATTAATGTAAAAGTGAGTGAGTGTGAGTTTTCATAATTCAAGACAAGACAAAGACACTTAGGCCCCATTCCCACTAGGATAAAATTGTTCAGATCGATCCGAATTGATTTGCTTTGATCTGGCTCGATCCGGCTTCTATCAAAACAGGCCTAAGACAGATTGTTGCTCACCCTTCCTTGATGACGTTAAGCATAGACAATGCCTGCTGAAGGCTGTTTTGTAAGGCTTCCTCCGTACTGTCCTGTCTCATGTGGTCCATCACGATGTCCAGGTTAGCCTCTCTGTCCTGTAATGGTTATATAGGAACAAACAATCATTGTCTTTTCCTCTTTGATTCTACTCATCAAAACATTGTGACCATCAATATGTGAAGGAAACATTGCTATAGAGCTAGCAGCAGAATTTTACATGTCATTCCTCACAACTGTATCTGAAGGTTCCTACACAAGAATGAAGCTACGATGAGTTCTGTATCTGTATTGGTATAGCCGGTATAACTGCCCTTCGGCGTAACACACCATCTTTGCAAGCAAGCGGCGTGGCGGCAGCTAGCTATATCACACTGAACGACTTGTTACACTTAATCTTAGCACATTTAATTGCAGGAGTTGTTTAAAGCTTTCTAGCAATGGTGCCCCAACTGTGCTTGGTGGCAACGAGTTCCACCCTGCGATAGTTCTTGAAAAATACAAGTTTTTGAACACCTCAATTTTTTAGTTTTGGTGTGTACAGACCTGGTTGGTTGCATCGTGGCCGTGCCTGCAGGCCTCCAGTTTCTCCTGCAGCGCCCGTTCCTGTTTGGCCAGTCCGATCTCGTGCACGTCCCAGATGTGGGCGCCGCCCTGCGCGAACTTGAAGAGCGACTTGAGCTGATTGGCTGACTCCTCGGAAAGTTCCTCCAGTGCTTTCTGAAGGGCAAAGAAATGTTCAAGCAATAAAGTTAGATCTTCTTTCATTTTGAGGCAGCCGCCTTCAACTACCTGAAGATCCTGTTGCCTTTATGTGGGTAATACGAAAAAGGGTTCGCCTGGCCTCCATCCAGGAAAGTCATGTAAAGTGCCTTTCCCAAGGGCACAAGATCGGTGACATAGCAGGGTTCGAACCCAGGACCTCCTGGTTCTGAGCCAAACACTCTGCTGTTATGCCACACGACCCCAACCATGACCACATCCCTATGAAATACAGAAAATATATCCTAAAGAACAGAAAAGAAATCCAACAGGATACGATAAAAAGGTTACAAGTATTCTGGTTTCCACATCAAACAATGACATGCAAAGAACAACTCTTACATCCATGGCCTCCAGCTTGTCCTCAAATGCCCTCTGCCTCTCCCCAACCAGAGGCAGGAAGTGTTCGTTGATGACCTGAAGTGACCTTTCTTGACCACAGATGCCCCTGGTGATCAGTAACTCCTGTGTACCAAACATGAGGATCAAGGCATGAAAATTGAGACCTTTGTTATTAGTCAACATAGAAAATTAAATCTAGCAAGAAGAAACAAACAGTTCCTGTGTCAGCATCTAGAATACAAACTTCAGCATCTAGAATACAAACTTTGTGATGATATGTTGGTGGTCAGATTCAGAGTACAACATTTTCTTGCATTTGATCAAGATAACAGATTTTTTATAACAGTACTACAACAACTACGTGATGCAGTGGAATATGCAAACACACACATGCACAGTCAAAGGATCACAATCAGAACAAATAAACTCACCCTGTATTTCTCTATCTCTGTCAGGCACTCCTGGCAAACCTTCTCATATTCCCCATGCAGCTTCCCCATGTACTGCACATGGAGCTGGTCTGGAAATGAAATACAGAATAAAAAATGTAAGATTGGTTCAGAATCAATGTAACCTTGGACTAGACAGACCTTCAATATCTAGTAGATAGACTACAGGAAAGATGGAAATGAAGACACTTACCAATCTGTTCATTAACTGTTGACAAGGCATTGTACCACTCGTACACTGATGTTTTGGTAGAACTCGGGGGTTTCATGTCTCTGTGGATAATAAAAATCTGGTGTTAATCATCCAGAACTAATCAAATCTCAAGTATCAATCATCAACTTTTATTTAGATACAAATCTACAAAGTCCTGACCATACATTCTGAAAATGGATACGTTCAGATCTTCTTTAGTCCATCAATGTGATAGTCTTAAAATAAACTACATGACACAGGGGATGGTACAGGATAGTACAGGGTGGGGGATGGCACTTCAGCACCAAAGCTGGGGATGGTACAGGATAGTACAGGGTGGGGATGGCACTTCAGCACCAAGGCTGGGGATGGTACAGGATAGTACAGGGTGGGGAATGGCACTACAGCACCAAGGTTGGGGATGGTACAGGATAGTACAGGGTGGGGAATGGCACATCAGCACCAAGGCTGGGGATGGTACGGGATAGTACAGGGTGGGGGATGGCACATCAGCACCAAGGCTGGGGATGGAACAGGATAGTACAGGGTGGGGGATGGCACATCAGCACCAAGGCTAGGGATGGTACGGGATAGTACAGGGTGGGGGATGGCAGATCAGCACCAAGGATGGGGATAGTACAGGATAGGGTGCCGTCATGACAGATGAATTTTAAACACTTCAAATCATCTTTCACATTAACGTCAAAATTAAATCACATTTAACCACATAGTTTCAAAAGATCCTGAACAGTGTCTGTTACATTTCCTACTAAACACCCGAGATGTTCCTTACTTGATGGAGTTGAGCAGGTCCATCCTCTTCTGTGCCTGTGCCTTCTGTTCCGTCAGCAGGTGCTCTAACACCTGGTCTGCTCCAGGTGGCTGGACCACAGGTGCACTCTGCATGAACTCCCTACAACAAGACAAAGATCATTCAGTACAATCATATTCACAGCATCATTTCAGCTTCAAGATCACCACTCCCTTGCAGAGACAAATCATATACAACAGTGTTTGACACATAATGAATGACTGTAGTCACTGTGGTGCATGTAACAATTCTCGTTATGTCTACTAATGGTACGTCATTTCAAAGCTTAAATGTATACACTATGCACCTGTACAAACCAAACCCACTATGCACCTGTACAAACTCATACATGTATAATACTTTTAGAGAAAGATACTGAGTACCATGTACCAATATGCTTGTTCTCATCATCCTAAGTATAAATGCACCCAACTTTGACGTCATTTGATAAACTCATTGATAATTCAAATTTCAAGTTTCAATTAGGACAACAAAATGACATTTCCTTGAAGCAGTGAGATTTTGTTACCTGAACTGTTCAATGGTTCTCTTAGTGTTGAGTTCCCTCCAGTCTCCCACCCTGTCCAGCCACTGTAGATGCTGTTTCTTCTCTCTCTCCACATCTGCCGTCATCAACCGAGCAAACAGGTCAGCGTACGCACGTTTGTTGGCCAGTACAGACTGGTTGATCTCCATGGCTTCCTTCTCCATGCGTCTCTGTACATCTGGGGCCATCAAATGTGCTATCTGCTCCAGGGTCTTGGCATAGCTCTTCAACACCTCAGAAATCTGGAACAAAATATTTTTAGTACAGGTTATTACAAAACATGACTTAGGCCACACCAAGTTAATTTGTTGGTTCTCGGATTTGCCTCTTCATTTTTTTTCTGATTTGCAAAAAAAAAAAAGATTCATATTCATAATAAAATCCGTGAAAAATCAGGGTTTTGCACAGGCGCAGTACGTTCTGCAGCAATGAAAACAAAATAATGGCATCATCTGTAATCACCTGGTCCATTCTGCTATCCTCTACTTTCTGTAGCTCTGTGTCAAGCTGGTGTATCCTGTCTCTGCGGACAGACGACTGGGAGGCCACCATGACCCACAGGTCCCTCAGCTGCTGGAGGCTGAAGTCTATCAACATATCATCAGCAGATATCCTGGACAGCAGCTCATCAATTTCTGAGGAACAGAAGCAAGCAAGGACATTTCATATTTATGGACAGATAAACAGACAAACACTTAACAACTTATTTTGTTAGAATTTTCCTCCTTGATTGCATTACTCAATACTCATCTTATCAATGATAAGGTGTGTGTCACATAGCATGTAAGTGTCTTATCAAACCCACCTTGGTCATTCTGCTCCAAATACCCCATCAGTGTCTCCCCAAGGTTGGCTATCTTTGGCTCTGTTTCCTGTGGAAAATAAGTTACAGCTGGTTTATAAGGAGACCTACATGTATTGTGACAGTCATTTAATATTTTCAAATATTTACCAATTCTATGATTCTGTTAAACCATACAGCAGTCCCAAAGGAAGTCATTACCTGTCTAATAGACAATAGATGCATAGATGCATTTTCACAAACTTATTTTTTTCGGATACATGTATCAGGTGTACTTACTGTGCTAATGACCCCCAGTTCCTGATGCATGTCCTCCAAGGCACTCTCATGTCTGGTAAAAGGGAAAATAACAATTTGTAACAGTTCAGGCCAAGCTAAAGAACACCCATGAGTTTTAAAATCATTTTAGTTCATCAAGCCCTTTACATCAACAGAAGAGATGTTCTCACATGGTTTCATTAGTGAAATAAGTCCAATTGATTAGGTCTACAACAGAAAAATCTCTTTCAAGTTTGGCCCAGTTAGTTAGCGTTTCTTACCTTTGCCTTCTGCTCTCTGCTATTCTCTCTATGATGTCAGAACCAGTTTTCTCAGCGACTGTCAAAAAAAAACGAAACATAAATTTGTATTTTTAGACAATTTCCTTACTATAGACTAGACGACAGGAGAAATGTGTTATCTTAATGATTTTCCACTTTTTTAAGTACTTACCAACAACATCCTCCAGACCCCTGACTTCCCTGGCTGCTGTTAAAGATTCGGGTTCCTTTGACCGATCACTTATCAAGTTCACAGCTTTCCTGTAGATCAAAACAGAGAATTAATGAAGACATTGTATATAGAGAACTAAATTCAAGAAAGTGCTAACTTATGTAACTAGTTAAATACCCTACAGTATAAAATGTTCATCTGTTGGATCAGATGTATTTCTACCTATATTATATCATACCCAAAGTGACTTTCCTTACCTGTACAACACTGGGTTTTCAATAGTGGAGTCGTTAGGCATCCCCTCTATCCATGTCTTCTGCCTGGCGGTGAGTATGCCAGTCCCAGTGGTGGCCCTGCCCTCATGTACCAGGGGCAGCAGGCCTGAGGTGGGCGTCGCTCGAGGCTTCTCCTTAGCCTTGTCATAGGACTTCACAAGCTGAACCTGGGAGGGCATTCGGTGTGTAATGTCAGCCAAAGAATGTAACTTCCGTATGGCTCAGCATTCATCCATACAGAACTCAGACTTTCATCGAGGCACAATTTGCATGACAACCTACTCTTCTTGAGAAGCTTCTTTTATGTCCAAAGGTTTGATGCCAGAGGATAACACCAGAAGCTGTCCTCAACTGGCTTTATGTCACCATCCAAAATCACTAATGCAACCCCTAACACTGTGCCCAAAGAGGTAACTCAACAGCATTTTTTTCCCTCCACATGGCAAAGCACTGCTCAATAATAGTAGTGGTATGCCACTGGGACATGTTAGCTTATAACATAACAAGTATTAAAAAAGAGGACAAAACCAGCCCACATACCTCAGCATCAAAAATCTGCCTGTAGACCTTCCCACTAGGAGCCACTCTAACAGGTGGTGCTGCCTGGGTCTCTGCCATGACTAGCTGTTGCTGATGTTGCTGCTGTCACACAAGTTATTGAAATACCTGAAGTGTGAAAGGTTTATGGTCTTAATATACATGTGAATGTTGTGTTTATATAACTGTACACTGAACTAATGCTTAGCCTAATATAATCGAAATTTTGACGAAAGCTCCCACTATTCATAATTTTGTTATCAAACTGATGTTGTGATTCACAAACACATGACGTTTTGGAACTCCTTGCGATATAAAATACATGTCCCAGAGTATTGTAACACAATGGTATGAAATTAACAGGAGAAACTTTCAGTATATAGTTACGACAAATGGTGACAATCTTCTCGCTTCGTCCGTTGTAAGGAAAGTTACCCATCAAAAAACACAAAATCACAGCACTACCCCCCCCCCCCCCCTCCGAGATTCTGGCTCCTAGGCAACCGAAATATAACGAAACGCTTTATAACAGGAAAACCCTGGCAACATGAAAGGTGTTTTTTATGTAAGCAGTACGTTGTAGAAGGAAGAGAAGCCAAGATTTACCCACCTGTTACTCTAGTTTTCTTGTATTTTGACAAACTTTAGTTCATTGGTAACAACCGTAAACAATTTCGACGCCATTTTTTTCACCAACTCTCGTCTATCCAAGTCTCGCCCTACGCGAGATTTTGCGAGACTTCATTGTCCAAAATGGCCGACTCAATAACACGTTTGTTGGAAAGTTTATCAACAGAAGACGACCCTTTGGAGACGCTAAAAGAGCTCAAAGTTGCCGTGAATGCTGTACATCCGTCAGCGCTGGAAGATCTGGTCTCAAACGTGCCACTAAACGCCTTGTTTGATTGCCTGAACTCATCTAATGGGTGCGTAACTTTACTCAACTTTTGGGGCCGGTGGCTCAAAACTGCAAAATTTACCTGTAACTGCAAGTCACTGTGTAGCAGACGACATAATGTAGTGTACTACAATGGGGACATTTGGTTTCATCTGCTTGCATACTCTAACTGTAAGTCATGAACTATCCGCGGTATTTCTGTCACACCGCAAAAATGACTGCTCTGTCTTGCTTGTTAACCTACCGAGGACCCTAGCGGAGTCGGGCGGGAAGAGCTCCTGCAGCCCCGAAGAAAACCTGCCCCGACTACGATACTTATAATTAAAGACTGGACACCAGGCTAGGGTCATTCTCCTTTTAACCTTAAAAGCTTAATATTGCCGCAACTCTTGAATTTTCTGCTGGCTAAATGCTACACCCACGAAATCAAATGGATTTACAATGTTTCTGTTCATTAGACTAGATCATTAAAGGCACTCTATGTAGTTTTTTGCGCAAAAATTTGGAATATTCTAATTATATATTATAAAGAAATTTATTAAACAAATAACTTTTTTTTCCTGAACACTGTTCTTGCTTACGTTACCAGGGAACAGATTGAGGAGTGTTCGTACGTGCTGAGGAAGTTGCTGGATGCCCACAGTCCCGCCGTCATCCTCCAACAGTTCAGGGAGCCGCTACAGAGAGGCGTGGTCCATCCCCGCGCTGATGTCAGGCAACTCTGTCTCACAGAGGTACGAGACAGGGCTACTACTAGGAGGGGGCCCGCATGCCCTTTTCCGTAGAGCATAATCGCCCATTTTAATTCTACGTAGAGCATAGACGGCACATTTTGCCTAGAGCGTATTGGCCGTTTTAATTCTACGTAAGGCGTGGCCACTTGGAATTTATCGTAAAGCGTAATCGAGAGGTTTTCTGAATTCAGCATAATACGTAGCCAGCTCTCAAAATTTAGCGTAGAGCGTTGTCCGTTAATTACGATGTTTAACTGTCTCTCAAGCCTTAGAACAGTTATTGTTCCCAGGCAGCCTAACTGGTATGTCTCATATATAGTCATAACGTTGATTTTCAAGATGCATTGCTGTCAGCTGAAATGACACCAGTTGATGATGAAATTATATGTACTGTAAGTTGTTGCATTTATTTTACAGATCTGCAGATGCACAGACACTATTGTCCACATTCAAGAGCTGGTGACCTGCCATGACCTGCTGTTACACACGGTACAGAGCCTGGCAGACCAGGAGCTGTCAGTGGCCACCACGGCTGGGAAGGTTCTCACTCGTCTGGGAGCCTGCGAAGCCGGGCTATGGGTTCTCTTCACAGGAACCCTGCTGGAGGAGTTACAGAGAGTGATGAAGGAGAGTGATGTCATCAGGTACAGGGTGTACGAGGTTTGTATCTGTATCAGTATAGCCGGTATAACCGCCCTTTGGTGTAACACACCAGCTTTGCAGACACGCAGCACAGCGGCAGCTGGCTACATTAATATTACACCTAACCATTTGTGTGCTGTGTCATGTCATCATGAAACAGTTCCACCATTTTATTACACTAATGGAATGTAGTCCTGATTATCATTAATAAAATATTAGAAGTTTGGTCTGCTGCTGTCGTAATGTGATTGATTAAATGTCAACTCCTAAGGGTTGCATCCTTTGTTCTTATTCATGCAACATTTTCTAACTTTTAGCATGAATTAACCCCCTACTCCCTAGTCTGTCAGTATGAATTTGATTGTACATGTAACATATTTTCCTCATGACCTCCATACCCTGGTACATCGCCTCTAGGTGCTGGTGAATCTACAGGCCCTCTCCCCCATGGCTCTTCAGTTCTGCAGTGATTCTGGTCTGTTGACTCAACTCACAGAAGAACTCAGTGGTGCAGATGTTCTTGTTCAGGTAGGTCTATGAAGGTTAGTCTGGATAAATTTCAGTGAGCTTTTTCAATTCTAGATTCAAGATTTAAGATGGTTTTATTGGTTCTTCGCAGTTAAAAACTGAGTTGTAAACCAATTTACAAAGCATCAATATATAAAAAGATACAGGTATACATTTTAAAATATGTCATATCAAAATAAAGTCATGGTGTATGGTTGATACATAAAAGATGTACAAATACTGGGTGTATTCTTATTAGACTAAGTGGACTAATTGATGGTCTTAATGCAAGGTGGTATTGTACAGAATGTTGAAGTCTCTCTTATTTACCATTTTGCTGTTTCCAGGTAAACTGCATAGACATGCTGGGCAGCCTAGCCCAGTGTCCACATGGACTGAACTGGCTGGAGCAGCAGGGGGTTGTGGGTAAACTAGAGTCCATGCTTACGGCAGCAGACAGCGACCCAATGTCAAGTTTCTACATGCTTGGTAAAGGTCACCCTCCTATTTCTTAGAAGTAACAGTAATATTATATACTAATAAATAAATGTGTGATTCGTCAACCATATTCATGTTTACCAAAGGAAAACATTGTTTTTGCTCTGTTTCTTCTTCTTCTGTTCCAAACACTGACCTGGTCATTGACCTGAACCAGACGTCTGTCACCATGTTGGGTTACATCATGTTGCAATTTTATAGCAGGAGGGATTTAGACTCCAGTGTCACCATACATATGAATGTGTTGTAGTAAGAATTAGCAGCGCAGACCATATGCAAAGGTGAACATTACCTTTCTAGTTCCATGCTGAAATTCTTTGATACTGATTTTTCCTTTCCTTTCCTTTGACTGTAGGGGTAATAAAGTTCTTTGGGACTATGGCATCCATTCGCCCAGAGGAGACCATGGAACATCACAGGGCTTTTGTGAAGACAGTGTTTGAGTCGGTGGATAGCAGGGACCCAACCATGGTGAAGATCGCTGTAGAAACTGTGGGGATGGTAGGATCCAGGCCGGATGGGAAAATGGCTCTTGACAAACAAGGTACGACATTGATGTTTTTTTTTGTTGTATGGGGTGATCCTTTATCTTTGAGATGTCCTGAAGAAGTAATGTTTTGATATTTACTCCATGAAGCAATAGGGTAAAAGCAATTGGGAGTTTCTGTTAGACATCCTGTCTTGACATGACAGAATTTTTCAAGTTCAAATCCATAAACTAGATAAAGAAGATATGTAGTGATTATACAAAGTGATTATACTGGAAATGTGCAATATGTTTTTTCCAGTAACCCTCCATGTGACATTCTATACAGGGACATGTATTTTACATATAGTGTATACTAATAGCTCCCAAAGGCAGATATTTTCAGCAGACCTTTTTTTCGTCTTCCAGGGTGTGCGTGGACAGACTGTTTGAAACAGTTGGGTGGGATCATCCAGAACCCTCCCACTGAGATGAGGATATACGGGCTGACAACCCTGGCTTCCCTCTTCTCACTCCAGGTCAGACAATGGGCAGCCACTGTGCTGTACCTACTGTATCAAACTTCACAGTACCAGTAATAGCTGTTGCTGTGTGTTTGTTTTTGCCTCAAATTTTCATTGGCTTAAGCAAAAGTATCTAGGGAGGAGAGTCAAAGCCAAAGTCTATTGCACAACAAGTGTAACAGGTTCAATGCATGGCAAGTGTTAATTATAGAGACTAATATCTACACCATTGCCCATGACAAAGCTACTGAGGTCTGTATAACTTGAGACTAAACACAATGCTATTTTATATGAGTGATGAGTGGATTACATGATGATACATACGAAACAGAGTTGATTGTGATCAAAAGTACCCGATTTGTCTTTTTTTTAAGTCTTCAATGTTGAGCAGTACTGTGTATTCATTTAATTCAATACCAAATCTATGGTAACATAAGTTTAATTTTCTCTCTTCTACAGCTTGCAGATCACACAGAAGACCAACTGTCCATGTTAGAAGGCTGGTTCAATACCTTCAGCCCTAAGCCCATGGACACTCTCATGTCTATAGTCCAACAGCCATTCAAAAACCTACACTGTGCAGGTCTAGCAGTCCTACAGGCCCTTGCAAACCAGCCATGGGCTCAGCGGGCCATGGCAAACTTCCCAGGCTTCGTGGAGTACATTGTGGACAGATCCACAGAGAAGGACAAGATAGGCAAAGAGGCAAGATATGAAGTCATCAAGGCCCTGGTAGAATCCTCCACAGCTTTAGAGACATTTGGGTCTCCATTTTATCTGAAGTTAAAGGAGTACTACCGACAAGGGCCTTTCTATGTCAGAGTACAGGCAGAGGTTGCAATGGAAGGGTCAAACTAGAGCTTGCTGATGTTTGAAAAACTTTCAACATTCATGTATGTATGAGTACACCCTTGCATACACATAAGATGTAGTTTGCCATGTTGGCAAGTATTGATTCACAATAATAAATTGTTGGAGAGTGCATATTAGTGTTCGAAATAGAACGGTGTAGGGGGTTAGATGTGTTCGATCCGAATCGGTCTGCACCTTGAGATCAATCCACTAGGTGGCGCTCTTGCGCAGACGCCGACGAACACATGATGCACCTGTTGACGGGGTCAAAGTTTGTCCTTTGTTTCCGAGCTCCTTTGTTATACTGTAGGACTACGTGCGCAACGTTGCTGCAACGTTTAGAAATGTTACGATCTACTGTACACACAGCCACGCAAGGAAATCTAAAGAAAATATCGAGATTTCTGCGTTATAGAATAGAAAACGAAATACAACTGTCTTAGAAAATCCGTGGATATATTTATTCTCATCTTCTGTTTTGCAGCCTTGAAGTTCTCTCTACTTCCGCGTTCATACAAATTCGCACTTTAAACTTACTTCATTTCAAGTAAACCACGAATAAAGACCATTCACAGGCTGTTCAAGTACCAAATCGATTACAGCAAATGCCTCATTCTCCCACGGACGCGATCTGTCAGTTGACGGCTAAGTCACGTGGATACTTCGATACCTTACCTGGCGGGGGCGGGCTGTGATCAGGCAGGCAGGCCGCCCGGGTCCCGGCTGGAGGGCGCCCGGCTCGCCGAGAGTGTGTGCTCTCTCTGCCGTACCTGCAACTTGTCATGGACAAGTCTGACCGCATAATATTTGATAGCTGGGGATGCACAATAATTGTGTCCCCACATAATGAATCAAAAGAAGTGCTTATACTCCCCAAGGAGAATAAAGACGTAGTGATATAATCCATAAGGAAGAAGATGCTTGGCAGAACGATCATAATTATAAAAAGCCGTGCATGTAACATGTCCCGTTTTTGTGAGTTTGTGTGTGAGAAAAGGGGTGAACCAGAACGGCAATAGTCATCAAAATCATGTCAATATTGGAGCAACTGATGTATAATTTGCTCCTCATTGAATTTGCGTCAACCTAACGACCATCAACCGAAGTGAGTGACAGCAGGCGTCTTTTCGGCGACGTGATGAAGACAATTTCACGGCAATTTTGTGACTAGTCCGGCCCGGCCACCACAGCTCAATAATACTGGTAAACACAGCTTCATTTCGTGACTCACAGATTCCCATTTTCCGTGTGGGAAGGTCCATCGATCCCAGCCCCCAACAGTGGCAGGTGTTCTGTGCGCTCGTACGATCTCCGTCCTACATCCAGGGTCGTCTCACCGGCCCGGAGAGCTAAAAATAACGTCCTCAGTACCAGAGGGTCACCATAACTGTCTGTCTTTCTTTATTGCCTAACCTGGACGGACGAGAGGCCGTCACCTCGGCTTGTAAGGGACGGGTTGTTGAATTCATGAAAGACCTTTGGTGTAACGTCGTGAGCTAAGGAAAGGTAGAGGAAGACTAGTATTTTAATACTAAATAATTAATACTTAATATTAAAATATTCACCTTGTTTTGTTTCATTTTTATTGAATGGCGACCTATATATTGCACATTTTTGCCACACTGGGCCACAAGTGCAGCTCACATCAAAACATGGTGAACAGATACACTTCACAGATGCGAAATAAAACTAATTATCATTACATTATTTTATTGAAGGTGAAAAATAAGCAATGAATGTGAACCAATTACCATTGGGAAAATGGCATAAGGGCTGAAGAAGAGATAAGACATGGGTCTGACAACCTCAAGACGTTTCTTAAGAATTACAATCTCCTTGGTGGACGGTTACGAATGAAGTAATCTCCTTTCACAGACAGCAGTTATTCCACACCGATAAATCCAATGTTCGGCCGCCCGATATCGAACATGTATACATGATACAGGGTGGTCTAACTTCCTGATTTAAACCGATCGTAACGTTACAACGTACATCGTGATTTGTTATAGTCGGTGTACCGGGCCGAAGCCTTGTCTTATCACACTAGAAATGATTGTTCTGTGCTACGTACCGGAACTGTGTTTGTAAGGCTATTCAACAGAGGAATTCTTAGTGTGTAGCAATTTACAGGTTTCAGATGGTAGGATATGAATTCTGACATCTTTAACCCTAACACGTTACCTTGACATACTCTCCAAGCAGAGGTTGTCGGGGAATGATCGTCAGCTTTTTATATATGGCCGTTTTTTGTCGCTACCCTGTCGGTGGCCGGCGACCTTCTCTGGCTAATGGATACTGTCTTGCCACCGAAAGGGGTCTGCTTGGAGATTAACTTTGACAGTAGACTGTAGTTGGTCCAGCAAGACAATATCCCAACTTCCATCCTAACATCTACACAAACTATTGAGTGCTTTTATTGTGCAAGGATGGAATAAAATTTTGTACGAATCAAACTGCTCTAACTCATAAAAAGCTCTATAACAAAGTTTAGTCCAAGTTTTGTAGCTCAATCAATGCGGGGTTCCCTGAATCAACACCTATCACCGCCTATTAGACATCGGAAAATCCAATAATCGCGGCACAAATTGTGTACAAAGTTGTCCGTCCGCAGTCTGGTCACGGTGGAGGACTTCGGATTACGATCAGGACAAAATCCGGGCGGGGGGATGAGCTAGAAGATAGCGGAAATTTGACACAAGATAGATGCTTCCCGCCAAAATCCTTGTCACAAGTCATCCACATCTCTGTGTATGTCACACAGACCCCAGGCACGCGCATGCGCACTGCGCGTTCGAATCCCTGGACCCCTATGATCTACCAAAAGTTATGACAGACCCTCCCTGATTGGTCGATCGTTAGGAGCAATGATCGTTTTCTAGTGGACCCCGAAGGGCGGCGTGACCTTCAGAGTGAGTAATGCATTAATCCCGTCCGTAAATAATTGTAAAGAAAAGAAATTAAGTTAACCGAAGTGCGCCGCCAAGGGTAATAATCGTAGGTACGCAGGGAACCACGGGTAAAATCCAATATATAGTCGTCAAGAAGCGGAGATTACAGAAAAACTTGGTGATTACGTGAAGGATAAACCACAGCCG